GTATAGTATTTAAATATATGCCTGAGAAACACATAATATTGGCCCTTTAATAAATGACACAAGATCAAGAATAATGTTGCTCACAGGGACCGGACTGTATCTCATTCCTCTTTAATCGTAAAATGATCTTTATTGAAAGAATCAGACATGAAAAAAGTAAGCACTATGAACTCTAAGGTTTATTTTTCACTTCAAGCTTGTTTTCAGAAACAGAAGCAGACCTCCAGAAGAAATAGGGGTGTAGGAAAATATCGATACACCGATATATATCAATATTTCATTTCCCGATACTGTATCGGTTTTATAAAGCCCTGTATTGATTTTTAATTAAGGTTTAAATTTTTAACTTTCCTGCCAACGGTTAATTTTTATGTTGTGGTTCAGCCTCTGACCACTAGTTGGCAGCAGTGAGCCAGCCATTTGACTCCTCTACTCCTAAGGAGCCAGAGAGTAAGGGTAGCATTAGCATGGTGAGTAAACATTAGCTTCATGCTCCGATAGCTGAATCTGAGGGAGAAAAGATTGACAACCTCTGCCTTCTAAGCTGAGGTAAGGTTACAAACAGTTATTTGTCAGAATGTCTGTATTTTAAGCCAAATTGAAGTGTCTCGTCCGGGACGCTCTTTTTCTGACTGTAGTCAGCTGTCACGTTACAGAAGGTAGGCAGGCAGGCGTCTAGCGCCTTGAGCTTAGTGGGTGTTGTGTGAAATTCAGTTACCCTGTGAAAATCTGTCCCCCCTGTGTCTGGAGGGCACACTGCAGCCAGAGGCAGATCCAACCATTTTCACAGCACTTCTGATGAATTTCTCGGTAAAAGGACTCATAATCTTGTCAAGGTAAAGTTCAGTTTAATCACCAGCTGCTGTAAAAAAACATCTCTAACATGAATAAATAAATAAAACATGGCCTTTTTTTAAATCACAGAATGAGTCCTTATCGGTCCTTTTCCAACTTTTCTCATGTTCTCTTTAGCCTCACTGTTTATCAGTCAGCCATCAAACACTGTCTTCAAACACATTGTGTGCATCTATAATTTTTTATTGCTGATACAAGAACCCAATATTTCAGTTGTTCAAAATAATCTGTTCCCCCTCTGTAACATGGGAACAAAATAATTTACCTCCAAATCTTTAACTGTGTTAATTACTCTCATCATAAACAACAAATCCTGAAGATCTGTGAAAATTTGCTCTTTATTGGCCAAAGTTACCTGGATGGAACCAAATATTATTTAGACTTGTAAGCTACAGGTTGCACTGTTTCAATTAAAGAAAACTAATTGTCTCACCGCTTCTTTGATTAATTTTGTCCAGCTGTAGACCAGGTCTCTGTCCAATCAGAGCCAGGTATTGTGTAGTTGGTGCTTTTAGTCAGTTTTCAGTTCAATTCATTCAATCAAAGTCTATGGAACAGTCACAAAATGTCACCAAAATCACTCTGTCCCTCTAAAATCGTTCAGAAAATCGAATTGTTTCGAATCGTATCATGTGCTGAATATCGTGATATATATTGTATCGTGAGCAGAATATCGTATCGTATTGTGAGATTAGTGTATCGCTACAGCACTAAGAGGAAACAGAGATTAATGAKGCTTTGTCAGAAGGCAAACATTTTTCCACAAGTGAAGTACTCTACCTCTGTTCTCCCAGGTTTTGTTTTTACTTCAAAACTCAGGAAGAGAAAAGCTGACTTCTTTGTTRAAGAAAAATACCATCATTTTAATGAGCTATTAACCCTCCATCCCCACATCTTCCCCGTTTCCAGAGCAGATCTGTCCCACTCCCTGACAAAAAGGCAACCAAGGCCATCCCAGAGGCACATCAAAGTCGACCAGCTGACAGGAACAGGAAGTTCTCTCCAAACACAGCTCCTTCCTGTTGTCAGCAGAGATGATGAGCATTTGTTTGAACTTCAACACAAGTGGGTGCCTACTTGTTCCAAACTGTCTTCCCTCTTTACGCATGTGCTAATGTCAGCCCGGWCCATCCATCTCCATCTCACTGATGGCGGCCATTTTCAGAAGTCACTCTTGTGTCAACACTGACTTCTTCCTGACCTGAGAAAGTCAAAGGTCAAACTCCATTCATAGCCTGCCTTCCTCCACAGCTCTGCTTTTCAAAATCAGCACTTTGGACATAAAAAGTAACTATMAGTCCTGTCCTTCATGCTTTGGAGCTTGTTTTTTGACATACACACACTAGTTTATTCTTCTGTCCTCAAGGGGACATTGCAATGACTCCCATTCATTTACCGGTTAATTATAGCCCAACCCTGACCTAACCTAACCCTAGCCCTACACCTAACCCCTAACCATACCCCTAGACCTAACCTCCCAGGTACATACCTGACTATAAACCTAACCTCCCAGGTACACACATGACTCTAACGCTAACCTCCCAGGTACATACCTGAACCTAAACCTAACCTCACAAGTACACACCTGACTATTTATTTTATTTTTATTTATTTATTTACTGTTATTTTACCAGGCAAATCCCATTGAGATCTCAGATCTCTTTTTCAAGGGCGGCCTGGG